AAAAAAGACCTCATACACCTTTCAGTATGTTTACGAACCCCTGAAGGCATTTGAAACAAAGATAAGTAGTAGAGAGGTATGCTGGATATTACACTCTTACAAAGGGCCACGGGATAATTGAAATCGCTTCCAACGGTCCAACTTTTTTTCAATTTTCTCCACAACCGGATTCCAAAATGCTTTTAGATAGCTGATGGTCTAGGCACTTGCTTGGGGACTGGGGTCCGGCAAGATTCATGGTTGAGAAAAAAAAACCCAAGCCTATTACCAATCAAAACACTTTATTGTCCTAGACTCAAAGACCTTGACTATTCAAAATCATAGGAAATAATCCTTAGGAAAAGAGAGTTCAATAGTCATGACTCTGCTCTCCTCCCCTAGAAAGACTTTCTTACTTGGAGGAGAAAGACTTTCTTACTTGGCTTAGTTTTTATCGACAAAACAAGAATAATGAGGTGAACTAAAATAATTTTAATATTAATTATATAACTAAAATTTGGATAAAACACTAACTTAAGGGAAAAAAGGGAAATCAGCCACTTTTTAGTATATTATAGATATAGATATTATTGATGAGGTTTGGTCTTCCTTGCCCAAGCTGAAGGTGGTTTTGGTATTGGCAAAACAAAGCTTAGAAGCGATTTTCTCTTAACCAAATAGATTTGATGGGTTTGCAATGATGACTGCTTTGAAAAAGGTTGTTCTGACTTTTGAGCTAGTATGATATGAATCATGGCTTGCTTTCAAAGACGTAAATACAAAGCTTAAAAAAGTCTATCATTTAACAAAGATCTTTTCATTCTCCTTCCCAAAATTTGGTAAGAAGAGGAGCTAGTTCTTTGTTTTTGTTTGTATTGGCTCTCATGGGAATCTTGCCTGGTCTCTTTCGAAGGCCCTCTAATAAATTAATCTTGGTTGAGAATGCTTGCTTGGTGCAAGATAACTAATTGTTAGACCATTTGCTTTTTATGACCCTTGTGTATTAATGGACAACTCCTAAACTCCATTTGGAAGGTAGGAGACTTTTGAGAGGGCCTTATTGCACGGGGTGCAAGCTAGATAGAGATAGGCTATTCTCAATTAAATCCCTTAACTTCTTGGTTTCAGAGGAGATGGTACTATACCATGTTTTTTGTTTGGATTTGTGGGTTTGTGGCAATCAAGAAGTGCAAAGTTTTCTGATGGGCTCTTTGGACTCAATAACAATGAAAAAATTTAGAAGAGATGTCTATATTGCTATCTCAGCCTGAATTGGTGCTGTCAGAGTGGAAAATACTAATCATCATTTTTTGCCCAGTGGTTTCTTTCTGGTATGAAGAATAAATCTATGAAGATGTTTAATTTTTGTTTCCCGCTTTGTAGTTGATCTAGATGTCTTATTAATGCAAGGGTCAATACGGTTACAAATTTGAGGAACGTCAGGCAACTGCGAATGACTGGCTTTTCTGCTCTCTTGTGGCCTGTGGGCAGTTTAGATTGAGAGAAATGGAAGAATTTTCATTGATGGCAATAAAACACTTGGATCAGACTTGGGATGTTATCTTATCAATGTCTTGTTCTTGGTGTCTTTAAGTCCAAACTTTAGTGTTATAAGCCAAATGGAGATTTTTTTTGGCAACTCCTTTGGTCTTTTACCACTGTACTTTTTCATATATCAGTAGTTTCTGCTAAAAAAGTTCCCTTTTCTGAGAGTTGTGTTTCATATCAGAGGAGTCGACAAAGAATCTTGGTTGCAGCTAATGCTCTGAAATAATCTTGTACTCTTCCGATCCCTTCAAGTTGTTCTTGTTTGATTACGTAAGAAAAAATTCTTCTTGTTTGATCATACCTCTGCTGCACAATCTTGATCTAAATATGATTTCACTGCATAAGAAAGTTGCCTATTTACATGATGTAGTCAAAGATGCTTTTAAGTTGTTCTTGCCTTTAAGTAGTTGTAGCCTCAGTATCTGTATATGCGTGGCTTATGTTTCTATTAGTTTCCTTTCACTATGCAGTAACAAGAAGTTACTGTTAAGTTGTTTTAAACCAGAAACCTCTATAAATAGGGTTCTCCTTCATTAATAAAGGGATTGATTCATTTAACAAAAAAACTCTCTCATTGGTTTACACCAAATTGGTATCAGAGCACCAAGATTCTTGGGCTCATTTTTGTCATGGCAAGCAAGAAAGCTCCCACCAATGCTGCAGGAGATTCTTCTTTTGCCGGAAAAGAGGCGGATCAAACCACCGCCCTCTCACCACGAGCCACAACCAAACGCTTGCTGTCGGTTGAAGGAGCTATAGAAGATATCCAAAGGAACGTAGGCGAGATACAACAACTTTTGAGTAAAATATCTTGGCGACTCGAAGATTTAAACTTGCAACAAAATCAACCAAGATTTGGCCAAGAAGAACAACGAAGAGGACAGAGAATTAAAATTCTTCAACACCAATCAAGAAGATTTCAAGAACCTGTTTTTGAACCAAGAATTGTGCAAGGTTGCATCAATTTATGACCAAGAATCCATCAAGAACAGCGTCAAACTCACCAAGAAATCAACCACAACCCTCTGTTCCAGCGGTGCCATGATGTTTTAATTGATTCTTCAAGTGATGAGGAAGATTACTTGCTGGAATTTGAAGGAGATAGGCGTGGTGTGCAAGACAATCCTAATAGACAGCAAGACATGAATGTTTACAAAATGAAGATCGATTTGCCTAGCTTCAATGGCAAAATGGAAATAGAAGAGTTTCTTGATTGGGTGAAGAACGTCGAAAAATTCTTTGATTACATACATGGGTACTCCCGAGACCAAGAAGGTAAAACTTGTAGCTCTCAAATTAAAAGGGGGAGCATTCGCTTGGTGGGATCAATTAGAGACAAATCAAAGGAGATTTGGGTAGAGACCAATCCGCAAATGGGAAAAGATGAAAAAACTCATGCGAGAAAGATTCTTACCCATCAATTATGAACCAACCCTTTACAACCAATATCAAAATTGCAAACAAGGTACTCGATCTACCATGGATTATATGGGAGAGAATGAACATTACCAAGTTGCAAGATATATTGGGGGATTGCGTTTAAATATCAAGGAAGAACTACAACTCCAACCAATTGGGTATCTTAATGAGGTCATTTCTACAGCAACCACTATTGAAGAACGACAAACAAATAAATTCAAACAACAATATAGCGGAAACAATACTTGGGGTGGCCAAAGTGGCAGTAGCTGTAAAAGCAGTACCTTTGGACAAGACTTATCCGGCTTCTGTCCACTCCAATTTGAACAAAGGAAAACAAATAGACACTGAACCTCCTACAGATACTAAACATGCGGAAATTCCAGCAACAAAAAGACCCACTAATACCTACAATCAGCCAAATTTAGGTAAGTGTTTCAGATATTGACAGATTGTGCATTTGTCAAATGAGTGCCCTTAAAGAAAAGTAGTATCTATCCTAGACGAAATTGAAGAAATTGATCAAGAAGACAATGAAGATTCTGAAAATGAGGTCACGTATTTAGAACCGGATGCGGGCGTGCAAGTTTCTTGCATTCTTGAAAGGCTTCTCCTTACTCCAAAAATAGAATCTTCTCCACAAAGACATCCTTTATTCGAGCCAAGGTGCACCAGTAATGGAAAAACATGTAACGTGATTATCGACAGTGGAAGCACAAAAAACGTTGTGTCTAGCAATTTGGTAACAACCCTCAACCTCCAACTCATCCCTCATCCTACACCTTACAAGGTTAGTTGGATCAAGAAAGGAGGCGAAGCTGAAGTGTCAAACGTTTGTACAATCCCTTTGTCAATTGGGAATAACTACAAGAATCAAATCGTTTGTGATCTTTTAGAGATGGATGTTTGCCATATACTTTTGGGAAAGATTCAAACTAATTCAGCCAATTCAATTTCTAGTTATTCCAAGAATATTTTGAATAGTATTGGAATGAAGAAGAAAGTGGGTAGTTTTGAGAAGGGTCCCGAGAAAAAGAATGTTGATAATTTGGAAGAATTCTGTCTCAACGAACTACTGCTTCAAAATTTATTGGGATTTAATTCAGTTTGGTCACTTTATCGTTGTTTTGAAGAGTTAAAGAGGGCATTTTCAGTTGGAGTAATTTTTTAACCACAAGAAGAAGCGAGATTCTATTTTGAGGTTGTTTACAACCTTCTATCTTCACTGCTTTTGAACTCGAGGACGAGTTTTATTTTTTGGGTCGGAGAAATTGATGTAGTCAAAGATGCTTTTAAGTTGTTCTTGCCTTTAAGTAGTTGTAGCCTAAGTATCTGTGTATGCGTGGCTTATGTTTCTCTTAGTTTCCTTTCACTGTGCAGTAACAAGAAGTTACTGTTAAGTTGTTTTAAACCAGAAAACTCTATAAATAGGGTTCTCCTTAATTAATAAAGGGTTTGATTCATTTAACAAAAAGCTCTCTCATTGGTTTACACCATTACATTTGTTATGAGTTTGGTTTATTTTTCATCTTCCACATTTTACCTATTAAATTTATTACTGTCTAGATTGTTGCTATATTTGGAAAAAAATTCTTGGAACAAAAAATGTCGAGGTGAATGAGTTTGCTGATAGCCTGATATTTGCTATCTCATCATGGTAAATAAATCTCAAACGTGGCAGGCTTGTTTTATGGCTATTTTATGGGGTATTTGGTTAAAGAGGAACAATAGACTATGTAGGGGGATGGAGAGATCGGAGGATTATGTTTAGGAAGTTATTAGATATAATACTTCCTTATGGGGTTCGGTCACTAAGGCCTTTTGTAATTATCAGTTAGGCCTCATTCTTCTGGAGTGGAGTCCTTTTCTGCAGGGGCTCGCTCTTTCTGGGCTGTCTTTTTGTTTGCCCGTGTTGTTCTTTTGTATCTATTTTCATTTTTCTCAATGAAATTGTTGTTTCCATCAAAAAAGAAAAAAAAAATCTCAAACGTTGGTCAGCTAGCCAATGCATGTGTAATGTTTCTGCACTCCCCAATAACATATAAACTTTCCAGAATGCTAGGATTGTGCTCGATGAATACAAAGTTATGATGCACTCGTCAGATTCCATAGCACCAGTGGGGATCCTTCATCCTGTTTCCTTCCATTTGGAGTATAAGGCAAAGACCTCTTCTGTTGGTATCTGTGACAACAGCAAGTCAGTTGACGATGAGAAAATGGATCTTCTATTTGAAATACAAGGAGATTGCTTTAACAGTTGCGACACATTACAGTCTATTGCTGATGCCACTGGTGCCAGTAATATACTTGATGATGTTCCAGATGACAGACTTCAAATTTCTTGTTCAAGGATGCACAATACATTTTCGATTTGTTGCTGGTTGCAAGATTCATGCGGCACTTCTCAAGGTTGATTATAGATGCTCAGTTTTAAAGGAAAGGTTATCATATCTGTATTTAAAATTTTTAGCATGTATTCCTTGTTGGTAACCATGCTTAAGTCTTTGATTGGCAGGTCTGCAGGATGATCTAAAGACTGTTCTTAGGAAAATAGAATCAGAACTTCTAGGACGCGGTTTTGGATGGAAAAATGTGCTTTATATTCATCTTTATCTTGCTGACATGGATGCATTTGCTTTAGCTAATGAAGCATATGTCAGTTTTATAACACTAGAGAAGTGCCCTTTTGGCGTTCCATCACGCAGTACAATTGAATTACCTCTACTGCAAGTGAAATTAGGACATGCATATATTGAAGTTCTGGTGGCGAACGACCAAACGAAAAGAGTTCTTCATGTTCAAAGTATATCATCTTGGGCGCCTAGTTGCATTGGACCATATAGCCAGGTAAAAGTGATTGTCTTGCTTAACTTAATGCATCTTAACTTGGCTATGGATGATTTTACTCTTACGTTATTCCATTCAGACCCTGTAAAATTGCATTTTTAGGAAACATATCTGTTATTGATTAAATTCTTATGTCATAAAGTTGGATTACTATGTTCATTTCATCGCCTTAATTTGACTGAAATCTTCCCTTTGAGATATGTTGTTTTGGGAGGAAAATAATTTCACATTTTTATTTACAGCTAAAGATTACCCCTTCAGAAATACACAAAGGGAAAGTTAAAAAGAAGTTAACTAATCTAATTAAAACATATAATAAATCTAATTTTCCTAAWAGGTTATTTACAAGAATGCCCTTGACACTTATTTTCAACGCTCCCCCTCCTCWAGAGATTAGGGGTGTTCGTGGTTCGGTTCGGTGACCGAATTTTTAAAAAGAAAAATTAAAAACAACACCAGTCTGAAGTTAGCGTGCAAATCAATTCTAGAGGCTGAGGAGGGTCATTTGGTCGATGGCATTGAAAAACTGAGCCGACACTCAGGCCTTCTTTCTTTTCTCTCGCCTCTCACTTTGTCTCTCTCGCTGTCCCAGCCGCATCCAGCTGGCCCCGCTCCCTTAGTCCCTCTCCGTCAGCGTTAGTTCATGTCACCGGCACCGACCACCTGCTCCCGCTCTCCATCTCCATCTCCATCTCCATCCCACTAGTCACCCGCCTCTCTCTCAGTCTCCATTCCAGCCTCCCCCTCTTTAGATTTTGTGTCTCTGTTTAGTATTCAGTGTGTTCATGGTATTTAAAAACAATGTTAAAAGTATTAAAAACAAAGTCGGTTTAAACCGAAACCGACCGAACCGATTGGTCGGTCGGTCGGTCCGTGAAAATGCAACATAAAAAGATAGTTGGTTTCTAGTGGTTGGTTTTGGTGTCGGTTTTGGTGCCAAACTTACACCGATCAACCGATGAATGGGCCTACCCAAGTGGAAGGTAGAAGGAGAAGAAGAGTATGTGGTCATTTGGCCGGCGGCATGCGGCAGAGTCCGGGGGTGGGCATGCGGTAAAGTTTGGGGGGTCATTTGGCCGGTTGCATGCGGCAACATCCAAGGGTGAGGTTTTAACGAGGCAGGAGAAGAAGAGAAGATTAGAGAAGAGAAGAAGGGAGAGAGATGATGGAGAGGGTGGGTTTTAAGGAAAAAAAAAAGGAAAAGAAAAAGGCAAGCGTTTGTGGAGTAAAATAATAAAGGAATGCCTTGATTCGGGTTATTTTCCAAAATCTAAACTTAAAATTTGAAACTTTTGAAACTCAAAAGTGAAAAGACATCATTGGGCAGTGTGCCTTTCAATTTTAAAAAAAAGGAAATGACCTGGCTGGCCGTCCGACGTCCGCTGAATCTGTCTGGCCACAATGATGTCATTTTTCGGTTTGGTTTAATTATAATAAATATATATTATATTTAGCTTCTTATAGGAATTTACACGTGGCAAGTGTAACAGCAGGAAAGGAAGGCAATTTTTTCTAAGATAGCTAAAATTGGAGGTTTCTTGTGTGCAAGGTCAAGCAGAAAAAACATACTTGACTAAAATCGTGTTCAAATCTTGGTGAAAAACCATCTCTAGGTTTGGCAATTACCATCAGGAGCCTAACGCATATATTAGTTACAGTCACAAAATGATTTTGACGATGGCTATAGTAAATGTCAAAATTTGCTTACTTAGTTTCTTCAAAGTTCAAAGTTGACGATCTAAGTGTTTATTTTCAGGCAACTTTGCATAAGGAAATCCTTTACATGGCTGGACAATTGGGGCTTAACCCTCCCACTATGACACTTTGTAGTGGAGGTGCTACAAATGAACTGGAACAAGCATTAGAAAATTGTGAAGCAGTGGCAGAATGTTTTAACTCTTCAATATGTACTTCTTCTGTTATATTTGTCACATATTGTTCTACTCATATTCAACCAGAGGAGAGAAGGAAAATACAGGACAAGTTGCATGGTGCACTCGAGGAAATGAGGCACTCCGATAAAGATAGTTTGTCAAAAGCGCTTGATACCATTTTTCTATATATTAATGTACCCAATCTTCCTAAAGGGTAAGATTTTATGTATCCATGCAATAAGAATTTTTTTTCACCTTATTGGTGCTTATGTTGTTCTTCTTATATTTTATATTTTATTTATTTAAATTTTATACACAATGCTCATTTTAAAATACTAAATCAGGAAATATGAATTCTTTTAAACAATTAGTTTTGGCACTTGTAGAAGTTGAAAATCTTGATGATGCACCTTAGGTTTGTGTCTGTTAAAATGAGTCGAATGTGGCTTATGATATTTGAATTGTTTCTTCCTTTACTCTTCTTTTTTTTGCTTTTAATTTCCAGTATTTTCTTTGCAGAGCACTTGTTGAAGTAAAGCCCATTCTATACGTTCAGGAGAACGTAGATACAGTAACAGAAATTGTTCACGACTTACCGAAGTTACATACCCCTAGATATTGGGGTTTCCAGCATGAACACTGGCACAATTCTTGCATTCAGAAATGCGTTGTTAATGGGAAGATATGTGCAGTTGTGTTGTCCGTGACAAATGAACTTGCTCGGAATATTTGTTCTTGCTCGCTAGGAAATCTGATTACCGAGGAGCACTTGGAATTGGTTTCCAAGTTTTGTATTTATCTTCTCAACGAAGTTCTCTTGGATAGCGCCTTCTTTTGGGAAGATATAAAGGTCAGTTAATGTGGAAAAAATTATTGCAAAAAAAATGCTCTGCCAAAATTTTGTTTCTCATCATCTCTATTTCAGTCGTTTATTGATTTATGATTTTTTGATCCAGTGGTGACCAAAATCACCAAATGATTTTAATTTTTATACTTTTCCTTGTTCTTTCACATTTCCAAGTTAAGTTAGATCCAAGTTGACTTGCTTTGCTTGTCTTAGTAGTTGGAATGAAGGGAAATGGAGATGTAGAAAACACTATCAGGGAAGTGATTCTGGTCCTGGCTTGGGTCTGCATTATTAGTTTAGTTAGTAGTGTTGGGATCTGTGTTTAGGTCTGGGCGTAAAAATGTTAGATTTCTTTGTTGGACAAATTCAAATTAAACTAAATAAGTGGTGGAATTATTACCTTTCCTCAAAGGTGGGAGGTTGTTCAAGCCATGTTACCAAATATGCCTCCCTACTTCTATTTTTTGAAGTTCACAAGAAGATTGCTTGGGGTTTGGAGAAAATTTCAAAGACTTTCTTGGGGTGGCTGTTATCTTGTCAATTGGAGTACTGCTTGCTTGCTTTAAGATTTTGGTGGATTAGGGATTTTGATAAGTTGGCGGGGAAACATAGTTTTGCTTGCTAAGTAGGTTTGGGAAATTGTTTTGCTTGCTAAATAGGTTTAGAAATTTCCCAACGATAATGGTTGGAACAATGCTCTTAGAAGTATATGTTGAAGATTCGTTTGTTTTGGTATATGAAGGGACCCAAAATATGTTTTTCTAGAATCTCTTAGAAATCAATAGCATTTTACAAATTATTGGTTGGAGTAGGGGCAAATCTAGACGTTTATGTCAAATTGGCTCAAACGTAATTAAATATATTTTTAATTGCATTAATGTGAAATATACTTTTTTGATATATAACATTACTTTCAAATCAAGTAATATTAATTACCAAACTTTAATCTCTTATCTTCAGTATAGGTTTGTTGCATAAAATATATGCTTTTATAGTTTGATATTAGTTTGTCTAAAAGAAATTAAAATTAGAGATACAAGTCTTGAAATTAAAAATATTTAATGGAGTTTATGTTTGTGATAGGCCCCCGATCATTAAACAATATGTAAGAAGGAAGAGATTAGATCCTGGTGGGCCCGAGTTAGTCAGGGGGTAATTTGGTCCTTAAAGGGATATAGGGTGGTTATATGAGCTGCTGTATTGGGAAGGGGGGATCATCTTTTTTGGCTGAGTTGTTCCTCAGTGAGGAATTGTAGGAGAGGTTAGGGAGCTCTCGAATTCTCCCTCATCTTGTAAATTCCCCTCATACATAAATAATAGAGCAGACTCTATCAGTTTGTTTCTTAGAATTTTTTTTTTCTTGCAAGTAGTTTCTCGATTTTTTAAAAATATATATATAGATATAAAGTGATAAATATTATATACAAATTAAATATTAAATATTTGTTATTTATGGTGGGCAAACTGAATTCATTAATCGAAGCCTGGAAACATACCTGAGGTGCTTCACTTTAGACAAGCCCAAAAGACATAGTGAAATTGGTGGTGTCCTTCCAGTTGCTTTATAGTTGATCTCCTCTGCCCCTGATATGGCAAGGACACGGCTCTTTGTTAGTCTCAGCGGTGGATTGGTGTCTTGTCGAGAGGGATGCCATGCTGGATGACTTAAGTATCCAGCTCATGCGTGCACAACTGATGACGGCCATTTTTGATAGACAAGATGTGGAGTTCCAGATTAGGGAGAAGTGTTCTTCAAAATATAGCCCTACCAGCTGTGTCTTGTGGCAGTCCAAAGGAATGAGAAACCCACCACAAGATTTTATTGGCCTATTTGCTATTTTGGGAAGGGTGGGGAAGGTGGCATATCGATTGGAGCCATAAGCTATGACAACCATACACCTCCCATTCTATGTTTCGCAGCTTAAAATAAAAAGGTGTAAGGGGGAGGCATCTACTTTAGTCCTTGCCCTCAAGCTTAATTGCTGAGTTGCGATTGAATCTCAAGCCAGCAGATGTTAGAATGCGATCTGTAGGAAGTTCTGGAAAGGGGAGAGAATAGAATGGGTTGGAGTGCAGCCAAAGTCGCATGTCAGCTAGACAAGGAGAAGATCCATGGTATAATAAGACCATCTTCATTGGTATGAAGTTTTTTTGGGTGAAACTAAAAGCAAAACAACAAGGACTTCCAAAATGGACTATAGCATATTATTATGAAAATATAGAGATATTATTATGAAAATATAGAGAGATTATTGTCCTAAAAAGAGAATGAGGTCTTGATACTTGGGGAAGGCATGTCCGTGGCTCCTTTGGACACTGGATTGTGTTGAGCAGCAATATCTCGCTTTGAGGAAAAGGTGAAAGTTTGGGTGGGAGGTCGTGATAGAGATGAGGAGCCAGCGGTACAGTTCACGTACACGAGGAAAGGAGGCAAAAAGGCAACCGAAACTCAGTCGTGGGAGCGATTGGTGCGTGGTCCTCATTTTCGTAATAATAGGTTGGGCATGACAATATGATGTGAGGGGGAGGGGAGTATAGATAGCACTGGGACTGCCCTTGCAGGTTGTTGGTTCATTCAGGTTTTTTTGGTCAAGAATTTGTTCTGAGAGGGAGAGTTCCTGGCTTCTCCAAGTGCTAGGAAGCTTCTTGTGTGTTTCTTGCTGTTTTCGTGAGATATTGACTGTAGAGGTCACCTGAGACCTATCGATATTTTTCCTAGACATTGTCATCATTGTTTAGTTGATATGTTTCCCAGTTGGTGTCAGGTAGTGTTGTGTGATTTCCAATTTGTGTTTACAACTTTTGGCTTGTAAAAATTGTAAAGAAATTAGGAAAGAAATGAACTCGTTTTCTACATTTGAAAGTTGATTGAGTGTGTGAAAGCTGGAAACGCATTTCTTACCGCTAAGCCACCCTTGGTTTTGAATGGTTCATAACAAAAATAAAAGTAGCTATCAAATAGCCGCCCTCTCGTTTATGAGGACAAGGGTCTTGTGATATCACCTACCATGAGATCTTGTGTTCGAACCTTTGGGTAAGCTAATATCAAAAACCCTTGTTGTCTCTGGGTCTAGGCCTTGGGGCAAGTGTAGGTGCCTCGGTTATATGAGAAAAAGCTAAATAGCTTCGATTATGGGTTATCAAAAAGTAGCTATCAAATAGACCATTAGTTACTATATTCTTCACTGTCGTTCGGTTGCTCTATTTTGCTTTTCGCAACAGATATCCTTCCTATGCATATATATATTTTTAATTTCATATGGCTTCTGATATATTATATCGTTTTTGTAGAATTTAAGGTTCTACTTCCCAACAAACCTTAATATTACTCTGGAGGTTGCTTCACTCATATTCTCACGTGCTTTCAATGAACTTGCGGAGTCAAATCCAACTGTCGATGTTGGTCGGTTCTTCAACCTCATCCCAGTCTTGGGTGCAGGACGGACACCAACATCCATGGATAATATATTGACTTGCGAATTATTTGCTCAGAAATCCTGAGACCAAGTGCCCAACTGCTGCTATTCTCTTGCTTTCAATTATATCTCCTCAAGTTTACACGAACGAAGTGAAAAATGAAATTTGCAGATTCTTGGTTATATGAGGTACGTCAACTCCCTTCAAGGCAAACTCTTATCTATATAGTTTTTCCTCCTAAAAGATATAGATATATAACTTAAATTGATTTTGTATTATTATCCTATTGTTATTGTAATTTTGTACCAATTTTCTTTAGGGAAAAAAAAAGGAAAAAATTGTTGATTGAAATTCTGTACCACCAATCATTTGTTTAGTACATATTTCAATGTGAAAGGATCTTAATATTTTCGATGCATCGAAAGTGCTTTGCTCTGGAATAGACATTTTTGTTCATGTTTAGGCTCGAATTTTGACATTCAAGCCATAAGATTGATATTTTTTGTTCTAAGGATGTGATTAGTGTATTGTATTCTTTTTATTTTATTTTTTCTTTTTTTGAATTGTAGAGAAATTTTATTCCTTTTCTTTCCTCTTTCCCAACTCCTGAACAATTGGAACGTGTGTTCTTCTTGGGGTGTATGGTGAAACCGACCAAACCAATATAATCGTGTTGAACTGAACCGATTTTGCAGTTTGGTTCGGGTCATAATATTTTAGAAATTGAAATATTTGGTTTGGTTTTGATTTGGGGTCCAAAAATCGAAACCCAGACCGAATATTCAGTTCTGTTTTGGTTTGGGATTCAAATACTTTGTCAATGAAATCTGGAATCTTTTACAATCAAAGTTACGAAACTTTTCTTAAGTTGTGTTGGAAGATCTATTAGGTTTTATTATTCAGTGAGAATATAGTTCAACTTAGTGAGAAACCTGAAAGTGTAACTTAGATCTTGATCCAACTAAATTCAAGACGGAAAGAGGAGTTGATTTTCAGTCCGCAGGTTGACATTTTGGTAGTCGTTTCCTTTGGGGTGTGCCACTGACATTTTTGTCAGTGTCTCGAAAATGTTGTCAAAACTACGATWTGCTGGATTGAACGTGTGACCTTTGCTCGAATGAGAAATTTCTCATTAGGCATGTCTATTTTTAGTTCATGTTTACCTTGAGAAACTTCGATCTAGACGAAGTACAAGACTTGGTTCTTGGTTCAACCACGTCTATTATTTCGGTTAGACACTCATCATTCCAACAATTAAGTAGATGGCACTAATCTAAGTCAAGCTAATTCAATTCCTATATTCAATGTAACTTGACAAAGATTTAAAGAAACTAGATTAGTACCATTGCTCTTTAAAATTATTTTTAAGCATTCAATTACTATTGTCTTTTATTGTAGATTATTGAATTTTTACTCTCAAATTTAAAAAGTTTTAAAAAAGGCTAATCACATATCCACATTTCTAGATTATGAATTATGCAAAGTGATACACCAATCTTTTAAAGTTTGGGGGTGGCATATACTTGGGTTTATTTTGTGTCCGATTTGAAATTAAAGAATTAACAAATATAAAATATTCATTAATGTATAAGCTAAAGGAAGTCATAAAAAGAAAAGAAAAATTATTAAAAAATATTTAAATTAACGAATAAGTCTTTCACCCTTTTAAAATAAATTTGAAATTCTTATCAGTGATGTTACGTTTACATTAGTGATATTTTGTTGATATCTTTCTATTATAAATTGTCAAATTTCTGTGATACTATAAAAATATCGATTCATACTTTACGTCGAACTCGAACTGAAAATATCGATGGAAACGGCTAATGATGCTTGTTTTTCCAAGAAACAAGGAATGAAAAATATTTCTTTTTGTGCATTGGAAAATCACTGCAAAATATGACTTTCCAACTGCCTTAGTTATGATGTGTTATGTCCCACACCAATTGAAAATGCCCTTCCAACTAAGCCACATCTCTCATTCTTTTTCTTTTTTATGTTTTTCTTTAAATTAAAAAAACAAAAAACAAAAAAGCTAACCCTATAGGTTTCAATTCAAAAACATCTTTTAGTTTAACCATCTACTCTAGGAATCAGGGTTTTTTTTTCCCTTTTTTAACCGGGAGTTGGAAAAAAAAAAACTAATCTATTTAATGTTAGTTGTTAACATTATCAATAAAACATTAAACATTACCAAAGCGAGAATAGCTCAGCGGTAATTGATATTGTCTTCAACCAAGAAGTTTTGAGTTCGATCATCCACCCCACATGTTATACTAAATAATAATAATGATGCTAGAATTGATTTTAAGGAATGGTAAAGATCAAAATTAATATTTTATAATTTTTTCATTATTTTGACTATTGCTCATCATATTTTTTCATTTATTAACTTAAATTTTGAACATTAGGCAAATAAAGCAAATAGTACACATCATAAGTATCATGCAGGCTTAGTAGCGTGTAAATAGAACATGTAGTCTAGAACTGAAACGTCTTTTCCTTGGCAAAGAGAAATTTTTTTAGGGTCGAACTCTCAGTGAAATTCATATTTGTTCGTACAACCCAATCTAACCGGCGATAAAATCTTTTGATGTCTTGAATTTATTTTGATGTTTAAAAAGTCTCAATCTTGTTGCATTTATTGCTATAACACTAGAAAGACTTTCGAAGGGCTGATCCAAGTTGTTGCTGGCTCACTTTCATAACCGTCTAAAAATCTATGCGAAGATAAAATTCAATAATCGAAGATTTATGGTTAATTGATATTTATAGATCCACAATACAAAGAGTGAAGGGAGCAAACTTTTTGCCCTCACATCAATGCCATGATTGCTTTCTTCTTCAACCATGTTCTAAAAGTTTAAAAATGAAACATATGAGGATGGGACCAAACTTTTAGTGCTTGTTGAGGAACTAATTTTAAAATAAAAAAAAATCTTTGAGAAGATATTTAGGTAACTGTTTTTTAAAAGTTTCTTTGTATTGTTTCTCTCTTGCAGTGTGTTCTCATTAATGAGCCATTCTTTTTAGAACAAATAAAACTATTTTTCTTCACAAATCATGATTTTGTGAATAATGATTTTAATGTTGCTAACAATATTTATTTTTATGTGTCATTCTATTATATTGTTAAAAGTAGTTTTGAAAACAAAAAATATACAAAATTATTTTGAAAAGAGTTCCTAAACATTGCCCTAACTTGACTTGTTGTATATGGAATCCTTGAGAACATCTCTTTGAAGGAAAGCTATTTGGCCAACTAACAACTCCAAATAATTCAATCACATGCAAGTTTTCTAACTCCCACCTCTTTTGTTTTACCTTAACACTATATTTGTTGGTCTAAGATTTTGTTTATTGCCTTAGAGACCATAAAGCTTATTCTTTTATAAGTTACTAAGTGGGAATAATTAAAAGTTAGCCATTTTTTCCTGTGGAATTATTTTGTGGGTGAGTTGCTAATGAAAAATCAACTATTTTTTTTTTCACTTGGGACAAGGGTGGCTAAGCCAACTAGATTACCTACCCTAAGTTGGCTCTCGATTGGGCCCACGACTTGGGATTATGTGCCAAACGCTTGTCGGGCCCGATGGGCCTAGTCTATCTCAAGGCCAATATATAACCTCTTAGCACATGCTTTGTTAACTATACTTGGATTTTGCCAATCAGAATATAGCTCAGCTGGTTAAGGCACATGTATCAAATGAAGCCTCTYTACGACATCGAAATGGTGAATCAAGTCATTGTTCAAGACCTCGAGCTAAAACTTAAGGAGACAGCGCTCATCAGCTTGTTGTTCTTCTATTGATCAAGAATTTTGATTTTAAGAACGTATTATGACCCTCCAAAAAGAAGGGTTTCAATTGAAAAAGAATGAAATTTATATTATGAAGTCATGTCCCTAATTCCATATATACATATATGGCTATGCATTAAAGATTTTTATTTGAACAATTCTTGTCACGCTCTTGCCCATGTAAATCAAATTAATGATATAATAAAAACTCACTTAACAATGAGATGAAGTCACAAGTGAGATCATTATAGTGTATATACAAAAAGACTTTAGATTTCACAAAATAGTCTCATACAATCTCAATTGCAGAGTAGGCTACATTAATAGTGCCACCAAAAAGTAAACAAACAAACCTTCATCTATATATTGTAGGCGCAATTCCAGATTCATATCAAAGCAAATATATTTAATTTTGCTAAGTTGAGACGTTGTTAGAAGAATTATTTTGTATGATATTGTCCGCTTTAGGCATAACGCTCACGGTTTTGTTTTTGATAACCCGAAAGGCATCATACCAGTGGAGATAATGTCATTGTCTATATAACCATTGATGATGCAAAATTCTGCCGAGTTGTCGAGGTCGGTCACGTGGCAACTGGCCGAGCTAACGACGTGCGAGCTCATGCAAGGTAGGACCTACAAAAAGAAAGTAAACACTCTGACGCTCAAGTCAGTATAAGTGCAAGTTCAAATAGGTCATTCTCAAAGTAGAATTACATACCTGAGTCAGAGGAATGAAGATCATTTTATAGGCGAAGTAAAGAGACATGTCCGTTATGGCCGTTACGATAAGGCGGTTAGATGTCGGGCCATAGGTCAGCAATGATTGAGGTCGGCTATGGATGAGCTTAATAGCTCGGTCCTAGATGAGCTTAGTAGCTCAGCGGTAGGTGAGCTAAGGAGCTCGGTGGTAGATGAGCTAAGTAGCTCGGTAGAATTTTGCATTGACACCCATGATCTTCCCCTTATTTAATTAACGTGGGACTTGGGCTGCATTTCCAACCCAAACAAATAAAAATGTGTTGCATCATTGACCCTGTTGCTTTTACTTGCCTCAAAATTCTTTGCCATTTCCTTAGAAATAAAGTTAAGATTAGTGAAAGTAATTATGCTTAGTAGGCTTCATTACAAAGTATGTCCCCTTAATAGGCAAGGGTTGGATGGCCTGTTCTATATATATATATAATATCAATTTCAGCCTCCACTTTCTCCAAAAGTTTATTGAATTATAAGCTAAAACTTGCTTTATCTACTCATTATTTTATTTTGTTCTCTTTTTCATTTAAGGTAAATTCTATTAAATATATATTTAAGGAATTTCATTTGGCTTAAAGTTTGTAGTCTTTTAGTCAAATATTAAATGTACATCAATCATTTACTAAATTTAAATAGTGTATCTAGTATGTCTGGGTCTGTAATTAAAATAATAATTATTACAATAATGTTACCTAAAAATAATAGTAAGTTGTTGTCATCGGAATTCATCCAAAGTATTAAAAGAACAACTTAGAAGATAAGTATGGTATGTGTAAAATTAGAGACCTGGGACGATATCTCTCGATTCCTTTTGAAAAAGAAAAAGAAAGCGAAAATTTGGATGATTGAAAAACAAATATAAAAAAGTCCCCTGGAGAATGACGCAGTGGCAAGCGCTTGAGGTGTTTAGGTACCACATATCTT